AGAGAGAGAGAGAGAGAGAGAGAGAGAGAGAGAGAGAGAGAGAGAGAGAGAGAGAGAGAGAGATATTTGCAATGTGTCTTTGCTGCGGGTGGAGCAGCAGCAGCTGACACGTAATAATAGTAGTTGTAATAAGACGGGCCAGTGCAGCTCCGCCTGCATAAAAAAGGAGTGATCACGCGATCATTGGGAGACAGAGGAGGAGTGATTTGTGCCCAACAATTGTCCACGGCAATGCAATGTTCGAAGATAACCCACATGAGGAATGGATGTAATGCGAGACTCAAATCATCTGTTGTGATGAGAATGATGTGTCTGACTCTTTGTCTTGCTTGCACACATCATTCATACGGCTCGTACCTAAGTTCTTACAGGCGACTGTAGTGAATATGGTGAAGGAATAGTCTTACCCCATCAGTAATGGTGGAAGGTCGAGGTTCCAAGGGTTCGGTTGTTCGCCGATGAAAGTGGTAAACTCATTGATAGCATGACCTGACCATGCAGTGAAATGAGATCCTGACCTAACACTAGCTACGGGGAGCCCAAACATAGGACCTCCCCGCCACAATAATACAGAGACGAAGTACGAGGTGGGAGATGGAGGAAAAAAGGAGGAGGAGGAGGAGGAGGAGGAGGAGGAGGAGGAGGAGAAGAAGAAGAAGAAGAAGAAGAAGAAGAAGAAGAAGAAGAAGAAGAAGAAGAAGAAGAAGAAGAAAAATGGATGATACGAAGTATGGAGCGCCCCACTATCCCCTCATATAGTCTTCCCTCCCCCACATCATCCAGCTATGGCTACCCGTGCAAGTGCTCTCTCTCCCTTTCCTGGTGGTAGCAGAGCAGCATATCGCATCACTACAGTGCAAAACTGAGAGCGAGGCAGAATGCTTACCAACTGGACTGGCAGTGGCGACATATTGCATCGAGTGGGGCAGTGGACTCAGCTGGCTGGGTGGCCGTGGTCTCATGTGGAAACTTCGTCCGGACCATCAGATTTGCCTGCAATCTGTGGCCAGAATTGACTTCTGAAGAATTCTTGACTTTGGGCCCGATTGCGCCTGACTGTTAGACATTCTTATCCCTGGGGTACCCGATCAAAGGGCCCGCCTGGCCCCGAAAACCCCACCGCTTCTCAGTCTCTACCGGTTCTGAGTCCGTTTTTCGGACCCTTTCCCGGGCCTCTACGGACTTGGACACACACTACAACCTATAGACTGACTCGTGACCTGTTGAATGCGGGTTTTCCAACCCTGTTTTCCCACGACCATTGCGATAGAAAAAAAAAAAAACTAGCTAGAATGAAATGAAGTTCATAAACAATCATCGAAAACAAAATCATAGACAAATTGTAATAATAAACGAAAACTTAAAATCTAAAAGAAAATATGGCATTAATTTAGTAATAGCAGTACACAGCAGCAGCAGCAGAGATTCAGAGAGCAAGAAGAGGAGCATAAGAAAGAGGAGTTCCCCAACTTTCGCTTGGTTCATTCTGATCTTCAAGTAGCAGCCATCCAGTGAGACAGCATAGACAAAGGTATACAACAGTACTATACACCGCAATAAAGCAGACACGCACAGAACAAAACGATGGACAGAGGCATAGACGTAGACAGACACATAATAGTCCAGAAGGTCTGGGGACTAATTTGGGACTATAAATACTATAATAACTATATCCATGCCAATGACTCTGTCTTGCAAGACGGTCTCGGAATTAACTTTGGGGAGGGGGGGGGAGGGAGGGGGGTGAGAGAGGATGGAGCAATATTCGGTAGTGGAATGTAAGCTCACCTCGGACAACTGGGGGTCCCGATACTCCCTTCCCCCTCCTTGGTTTCCATGATTTCCCAAACCAGGGCCCCATCTTCCTCATCACTTTTTCTCCCTGCAAAAGAACGCAATCTAGGCTTCCTTCAATTTCCTTGTCAAGCTGTCATCGGGAATTCATCGGCACACTGACGACGTACACGTTGAACTCCACTTACATCACCGCAGGCAGTTGCCAAATTTGTTTGTTCGTTTGTTTGTTTGTTCGCTCGTTCGTCCATTCCTTCATTCGTTGATTCATTCGCCGGTCGGTCTGTTTGTCCGTCCATCCGTGCGTGGTGCGTGCGTGTGTGTGAGCGTGTGTGCGTGCGTGCATTGGTTTGTTCGCTTGTTCATTCATTCATTCGTTTGTTTGTTTGTTTGTTCGGAGAACTTTGGACGGTTTGTTAGCTTTCTTTTTTTTTTTTTTGCCAAGAAGGGCGACAGCCTTGAGATACGATCAGTGAAGTGACCGAACCCAGGTGTAATTCAGAACTACTTTATTCTGTCCGTCTGGTTGCATCTGGATTTGAACTTGGGTCCGATTCATTTTTCAACAGTTCATGGGTGCTATACCAACTGAGCTAGGCCCGTTGGTTGTTAGCTTTCTTTCATACGCCGCTCAGAGGTTTGAAGAGGCGACCATAGGTGGCGCCGGGCCGTCTGTCCGTCCGTTGGTTGGTTGGTTGGTTGGTTGGTTGGTTGGTTGGTTGGTTGGTTGGTTTGGTTAGTTGGTTGGGTTGGTTGGTTGGGTTGGGTTGGGTTGGTTTGGTTTCGTTTGGTTTGCGTTGGTTTGGTTTGGTTTGGTTTGGTTTGGTTTGGTTTGGTTTGGCTTGGTATGGTTTGGTTTGCGTTGGGTTGGGGTTGGTTTGGTTTGGTTTGGGTTTTGTTTGGTTGGCTCGGTGTTGGTTTGGTGTTGGTTTGGTGTTGGTTTGTTGTTGGTTCGATTGTTTTGGTTCGTTTGCTTGGTTTAGTTGGTTTGGTGTTGGTTTGGTTAGGTTGGTGTGTTGGGCTGGGCTGAGTTCGGTTGGGCTGGGTTGGGTTGGGTTGGGCTGAGTTCTTGGGTTGGGGTGGGCTGAGTTCGGTTGGGTTGGGGTTGGGGTTGGGTTGGGTTGGGTTGGGTTGGTTGGGTGGGTTGGGTTGGTTGGTTGGTTGGTTGGTTGGTTGGTTGGTTGGT